AGTGCACGAAGGGCGGGCGCTCTTGGGTGGGGGCAGCCGGCCGTGGGGATGAGCTTTCCTCAGTTCATTCCGACAAAGCCTTCCTTTTTGTCTTAGGTGTTGATTTTAAAGTGAAGAAAATGGTGGTAGACGGCCACGCAGTACAGCTTGCAATATGGGTAGGTCTTGATCCAGGCAGATGTGGATAGGTTTTGTTTTTGACAGATGAGAACACTTAAAGAGTTTCTTTTTGTGTGGTCTGTCTTCTTTTTTCCTTTCCCTCTTCCTCTCCCCCTCACTTTGCTAAAGTCCACTGTGTATTGAGGTTTTGTGCTTATGATGTGGATGCAAATAGAGTGAGGGTCTGCCAGTAGCTGCAGACTTCCTTCAATTCTAGCAGAGATTTTGACTGCTGTTTCCTGCACTTACCCAGTGGGGTTTTTCACGCCCTCTGTGAAGTGTGAGGCTTGTGAAGATGTGACCTTGCGAGAAAAGCAGGCATTTCATGACTCTATGACGCAGAAGCGCTCCCAGGACAGACAGCACTTGAGTAAACTGCAGGAAAGTGATGTTCTGGGTGATGAGTTACATGATCTCCTGTAGAGGCTGTGCAGCAACTCTGTGTGATAGACTGTACCAGAAACAGTCCAGATGCTTGTTTTTGGTGAAGAGAACAGGAAAAAACACCTCCAAACTTGGTCCTGAACTATTGAAAGATTGGTTTAGATTTACTGGAAGACTTGAACATTTGTCCTGAACTTGCTCATGCTTTATTTTTAACACCTGTAAACTGGGAAATCAGATTGTATCCGTGTGATCAGGATTATTTGTAATATTGAAGCACCACACTTATTCTCCCAAATACAATGAAAGAAACCTAGAAGGAAGAGGTTTTGTGTGTATGGTCATAGGTACTTGAGAGCACATGCCATTATCAGTTAAATAGTGTGGACTATTGGAAAGAGAGCGCAAAAGTGCCTTGGGCTGGTATTAACAAAAGTAATATACATACCAAAAATAGAATTATTTCCTTGTTTTCTTTCATACTTTTTGTACAGAATGAAGAGCAGGAGTGAACGAGTCACACTTACTCTGGCTAGGGAACATGTGTATTGGCTTTGTTCTGAACATACTGCACACAAAGCAGAAGCTTTGCTGAGAGTAACCAAGATATGTTTGCCCTAATAATCATACAGGGGTGTGTCTCTTTGCTGTGAAATCAACAGCAAGGCCAGAACTCGTGCAAGTTGTATAGCTGGAAAAGGCACTTCTGCAGCAGTCTCCTACAGCAGCAGGAGAAACTGCTTCTTAGGGGGGAGAACCAGCGCAGTTATACAGTGTTAAAGAAAAACTTTAATGCATGTCCATTGCATCAAGGTCAAAAGGAGGCTTCCGCTTTAGTGTGCGTGCATAGATGCCTAAGAGTACGACCTTCTTGGTAATGATGGCTCAAATTACGTAAATATACTACCACTTTTTTAAACGGAATAAATAAATTGCAACACAGCTGTTAGTCTATTGTAATTTGTGCATCATTTTAAATAAATTTTGGTAAAATATTTGTGTAATTCTTTTGCCTTTTTATTGTTCTGAGAGTTTTTGAACTTCATGTTGCACTTAGGAGCTGTTTCGAAGATTTGTGAGAATAAGTGTGACACAGTGCAGTAATAATTGAATTACACTACTGATTTTAAACCTCTTGAATCTCTTTAAATCTCTGTCAGCTTAGAGTCTTAGCCAGCTTGAGCCAGCTCTTTCTAACTGGATTCTCCTTTGCTGCTGTGGAGGAGCAAAGGGAGGCTTTTGCAACCACTGACTCCTGTCCTGCAGTGTCTCTCACTGGAAAACCAGTTATTCCTCACCTCATTGGGTTCAGCTGATTGCTGATTAAGCCTGGCTGCTTGGCTTGCACCAATAACCTTTTATGTATTGAGTCCCATTGATTTTCTTGTTGTCTCACTTATGTTACAGGTGTCTGTGCTTATCGCTTTAACCTTCAATCAAGTCCTCTGTGCTTTTCTAGCCCTTCTTATGTTTTCTGTTGCTGCTGCTGCTGTCTTCTGACTGCCTCCCTCATTCTGTTGTCTTATGGTTTCTTGTACCTTTACTGGTCAGGAAAAATTCAAGTTTGTCTTGTGTAGTTTAAAGTACCTTTTTGTTGTTGTTCTAATTGTATTTGGTTTTGTGTGTGGGTTTTTTGTTTTGTTTGGCTGTTTGCGTTTTGTTTTGTTTCCCCCCTCTGTAGGACACAGCAGGACAGGAGCGCTTTAGAACGCTGACTCCCAGTTATTACCGAGGAGCTCAAGGAGTTGTTTTAGGTAGGAGCTACATGGAAGAACAACATGATTACAAGAAGTGTGGTCTTTATTACTGCCTGACCGTGCATGTCTTTACAAAAGGAGGTTGTCTGAGAGAATGAAAACAACAATTAGGGTTTTTACAGCATTACTGCATCATTGGCTCAAGTACTGAGTATGCAAAACCACTGGCAGGAAATAATGCTTCTTCAAAAAAGTTTAAATTAAAAATACAGAGATTTCACACTGCAGGCTGTTGAGTGGATGAATTATTACCCTTGTAGTTACTGCTTTGGTGAGTTTCTGGTAATAACAAACCCACTCGCCTTTCCCCACCTCTCCTCCTCCCCCTGATGTTTTAACTTTTTTATTCCCCGGAAACTATTGATGTGATTACTGTAAAACACGAGCTTTGTAGCACAAGTAATGGGTGGCTCATCTTTTTCTGCCTGACACCACCAGTTAGAAAAAGAGGAGATTCTTACTCAGTTTGTGAAGGTTGAACACCTTGCTGTACAAAATATTATTTCTGACTATAATGTAGCTTTTTAAACCTTAATGATTAAGTGAATGTAGTTATGAAGTTACCAGTGACCAGAAGTCACTTTTTACTCAGGAGCTGTGTTTTTTAAGCAGCAATGCATACCTGCAGTTACACATTAAATGAGGCGACAAAATACCTATTGTAAAATATTCTGTGTGACCCCGTTCAGAACTGGTAACGGGTAGAAAACTTCAACTGGTAAAGTGATTTCCAGTCACAGATCCATTGCAGAGATGCTCATGTTCTGTAATCCCTAGTGACTTTGGGTGAGCCAGGGCAATGTGTTCCAGCTCTGGGAAGAGGATGCAGTTAAAGCATCCTTCTGTAATTCCCTAATTCTGCGCTGCCTTTTTCTTTTAATGGCGGCAGTTAGCCATTAGGGACTAAGTTCTGCCATAATGAAGTAAACACTGTTCAGGACTCTACAGCTGTTAAGCTCCTTTTCCTCTGTTACCAGTGTATGATGTTACAAGAAAAGACACTTTCGCAGGACTAGAGAGCTGGCTGAACGAGCTGGAAATGTATACCACCAAAAGCAACACTGTGAAGATGTTAATTGGCAATAAAACTGATAAGGTCAGTTTAGAAATGCATCCTCTTACCCTCTCCCACAGATGACTCAATCATTATAGAGTATAATTGTGAGATAAGTGCTGAAACTAACACATCTGTTGTGTGAGGAGATGATATGCTCTAACTGAGGAACCTAGGTTGGGCAGGCTCCACTCACACATCATTGTGGAAGCAGATCTTGTTAAAGATTTTAATGGAAACTCTCCTGGAGAGATGCAATTGTTGAGAGAGATTCTTTTAAGACAGTGAGAGATTCTGCCTTAAAACTGCTGTATTCCCTCGAGGTTAACTGCAGTGCAGCAGCACAACTGTTGCTTGCTTTTTGACCAGGCTGTGTTTTGAACAGGTGGCGGGGAAGGAGAATTCAGCTCTTCAGATGGCCGTAGATTGCGCATCTGTGTGGGGTGCCCTGGTTGCTGTACATCTCGGTGGTGTTTTGATGTATCTTAGATGCCTGTTGCACAGTGAGATGTTTTACTGCAAGAGGTTTCATGTGGCTATCCTAAACTCGATTCTTCCCCCCCCCCAAATCTGTCAACTTTGAGATTCTTTGATATGCCTTTTCAGCTATTTGACCACTGAAACCTCCTTTCTGGCATGTATCTTGCTCCTAGTTGATTCAGAAGATAGCTATACATTCACTTCCTACTGATTTGATGTTGCTGCTGTTCAGTTTCACCTCCCAGCAGCCTGCTTAGCAGTAAGCTGTCTGCAGAGTGAGAAAATCCAGTTGCTGATTACTAAGAGGCTTTATAGACTTTTTTCTTTTCAGCAGAACTTTGCTTCTGCAGTTTTCCAGGGACTCCCTAGAAGTGGCAAATGTAGTTTATTTTAGTCATGTTCTTCATTTGTCTCTGCAGCCTGATCGTGAAGTAGAGAGAAGAGAAGGACTCCAGTTTGCTAGGAAACGCTCTCTGCTTTTTATAGGTATGTAACTGTGCCAAAAACTTTTATATTCATAGGTTTATGTTGGTATTGGTAAGCATGAATGAAGTGTACAATTGTAATTCAGACTGATTTAGGGTTATTTTTAGTACCTAATTACCATGGGTTCCTTTTGCTGCATTAGTTCATATGGATGTAGGTTTAAACTTTTCTTCAGACATGCTCTGCATGGACTGCAATTTGAATACTTTTATCTGAAAGAGATTTGACTTCATATACTGTCTAGGCATGGAGTTTGCATTCTCTTGAAACTAGCAAGATTTTTTGATTCAGGGCCCAGAAGACTGGAGTTTTTCTCCTAACTAATGTCAACAAGGACCTTGGGTGATCTCCTTTTCGTTTCCAAGTTTCTGTTGCAGCTACATAAAAGACAATATTCATAGACCAACCATAAAATGTACCGTGTGAAGTTATAAAGCTGGGGAACAAATAGTGCTTCGGGTTTTTTGTTTAGGTGTTTGTTTTTTTTTGTGGGGGGTGTGTTTTTGTGTTTTTAAAAAAAGCACCTTTTGACTGAACCATCTTTAAAAGATTTCCAGAGGAAACCGGAACAAACACGTAGGGGAAAACCTGCAATTCCCTCTGCATTCTTTGTTTCCCAGCTTAGTTACAGAATAGCTACCTTGTTCTCAGGTTGTGATAGTAAATCTACAGGTTTTGTTTCTCCATTATGAAAAGAATGGTGAGCTGAAGAATTTTTTTAGGTGGAAAAGACCAGGTGCTTCAGACTGTGATGCAATTCTGTTTATCACATTCAACTCCAGTGTGCCTTCAAGGTAGAATGGAGAGGAGGTTCACTTATTAAAAAAGCTTACTCTTCTCTCTGATCCCAGAGACATCCCCATGTGTCAAACTGGAATACTCCCTGCAAATAAGATAAAATATTGTTTTCCTCTCCCCCCTTTCTTCCCTTTCCATCAGAGACCAGCGCCAAGACGCAGGATGGAGTGCAACATGCCTTTGAGGAACTAGTCATAAAGATCATGCAGACACCAGGTCTTTGGGACAGAAGCACAGAGAAGCTGAAGTTAATGGAATCTTCAGCACAGCAGGACAAAACCTTACGTGGTGCATGCTGTCCACTTTCTTAAATCCACAGGTGGCTGTTCTGTCTGAACGGGGTGGATGTTGGTTCTGGTTGTGGTTTGGTTATTTTTAAAGGGAGGGGGGACCCCAAGCACTGGTCTGTGCCTTGTTTGACCCACCATCAGTTGTGTAGATCCAAAACCCTAACTGATGAGCAAGATACAATTTCTCCTTCCCTTACATACAGCTGAACTCTCCAGATAGGTTTCTGGTAACTGTCAGATTTGTCACTATTAAATCATCATGCTTCTTAGAGTGTTGTGCTCTTGCTGTATGGCATTCAACATGGACTTCTTCTGAAATTCCTGCCTTAGCATAAAATAAGGTGGTACTCAATTTTGGAATATTATTGAAAAGCTTCTCTTCTCCAGAATGGCACAGGAGTCTTTTCGGCACCCAAGTTCCCTTAAATGTAGTTGAAGCTCAGGAGTCACCCTGAGCAGTAACATTGTTTCCCTATTTTTCAGTTGGTTTTAAGCAGTCAAAATTGCTACTGTTTTCTCCAGAGACTAAGTTGAGTTACCATTTAATGTTAGGGTTGTAGTGAAGAGGTACATCTGGTAACATTTTTCATAGGATTATGATACATGTGCCACAAAATTCACGTGGCAACGTGTCTATCTTGTAAGCCCTTATTTTTGGTGGCTGTGCTGGGACAAGATTGGAGAGAGCCAATGGCAGAGCTGATGGGTCACTACACGCGAGGGAGTCCTCACGAATTTGCTGAGGTCACCAGTCTGGCAATGTTATCGGCTCCGACAAGGCAGAGCAGAGAGCCGCCTCCGAAAAGTGGCTGTTCTTGTAGAAATGGGAGCCTCAATGCCTATAGGCAGGACAACACGTGAAAGTTGCCAGGGTACATATTTGGAGAAGATGGAGACAGGTGTCTGCCCTACACAACTTTTTGGGCTACAGTTAATGTTGATTCAGTGACACTGGTATATGAGAAACGTGCTTTTAATATGTAACGTTCTTAGTTTTGCTTAAATGGAGTGGAGTATGAATAACATTATACTGTTAAGATGCAGGGAATGAGACTGGTGCACCACAAGGTCTTGTTAAAGGACATAGTACACAGGAAAGATCAGACCTCGGCAGGCAATGGAAAACAGGAACTAGTTTCAGCTAACACACGCCTGTACAATACTCATTGGTTTTTTTTCAAATAATTATAAAGCATAGCTGCTTCCAGAATAATTTCTCTGCATTTTCTTACTAAGACCCATCTAAAAATCCTGTATATTCATGTCTCCTGAAATATATACAGAGTCCTCTAACAGTTAAACTTTCTTCTTCAGGACTTGATGTAGCCAGTTAGATGCTCTGGAAGCCAGTACACAATTGGCAATAAAGGTAGTCATAAATGCTGGAAGGATGATGATCCGGACCTGTAGCTCACCTACTTGGTACTTCAGCCTCTTCCTTTTAGTGCCTTTTCCAGAGCTGCTGTGTTGGTATCAAGGTGGTATCCCAGCAGGTGGCATATGCAAAAATGTCTTGTAGAAAGTAAGTTTCTTACAAGTCTTATTTGAAATCATATGCAGTTCTTTTCATGTAGACTAAAAAACAAAAGTCTCTGGTTTATGAGCTGGCTAGTAATGCAGGTATGTTCACAGGTTGTTTACCATTTGTCTTATGTCAGTAGGAAGAGACTGGGAAAGTAGGCATAAGCTATGGATGAACAGACTAATACCTGTGCAAGACAACTTGGAGGCACTGGGAAAATGTGGGATGGACGTAAACCCCAGCCCTTTCCCCACCTCTCAGCCACTAAATTACCTACAGCTTACATAACTGGTCTCGTTTTAGGGCTCAATTGGAAGAGATTTGCAACTCATGATCCTGCGTGAAGGGAAATGTGCTTTGCTGGCCTGTCAGCCAGTTGGACTTTTGAGTAACTGACACGGTGTAAGCACGCTCCGGAGGATGTCCCTCCCACCCAGCTGAAGTGGCTAGTTCTGCAGGCATACTGGTTCCTGAAAAGTAACTTGTTCAGATGCCTTAACTCTAGCCACAACATTTGTGGCCAAACAATGAGAATTCCAGCTGATTAAGTGTCTTAGCACTGCACTAAATGCTTTGGAAGTGTGAAACTTTCATGTACAAAATGCAATATTTACAGTGTAAAAGTCACTCCAGTCTTGCTGATTTGTTTAGTCTGAGTATTCACTTTTAAATGACAGCTGCTATTCAAGATTTTGATTCAAGAAGGCAGTGTCAGCTTCTGACTCAGTTTTCTCACAGTCTATGTATTACCTTCTAGATAGGCCAGCAGTTTTGAAATGAATGTCATATTTTCCCTTTCTAATCCATATATTTACAAGACATTTTATAGAATCTTTTCCTTAAACAGAGGATAACAAGCTATGATCTAACCCAGTTGACTGGCACCCAAAATGAATCCTTATTTAGTTTCTCCAGTACAGTTTTCAGCTGATTACATGCACTCTGGAGGTCTTCTTTCACCAGTACAGTGTCAATTAAATGGCCATACTGCTCTTCAATGAATGCTGCTGAATTAATAATTTCCTGCTGTTCTTCATCCTGCTGATCAACACAAGAAGATAGTATGAAATTTACAGTATGTCTTTTTAATTACTAGCATTTTAAAGTACAATACATCATTACTTTAAAAGGAAATGAAACAAGAGCTGCTACCATTAGGAACAGGTATGTGAAACACTACAACCAAGATCAAGGAGCAATATGCTACTGCTGGAGTTTGGTAGGCTGCTTCAAAAATGCATGAGGTGATAGGGAGGGAGAAAAAAAACACGTTACAGGAGGGATGCAAGATGGTGACACTGCATTTTATGAAGTCAAGAGCTGCTGCCTAACCTAACACCTGGGAATTGTTACTCCTCAAAAGCTGAAAAGGAACACTGGACCCACTGTTCCCAAGTTCAGTAATTTCAAGGGCTTACATGAAAAGTTACCAAGTAAACTAAGTTCTGTTACGTACAAATTCAAGTTTAGGTTACCCAAAGTAATGACATTATGCACCCTCAGTATCTCTTTTCACATTTACACATCATCAATTTGCAGTTGGTCCAGGTGTGGTCCTTGTAAGGCATCCACATGCTGCGTTTTTTGTGTACTTCATTAACAGCCTGGGTGGGAGTCACTCTGAAGGGATCAGAATTAGGTGGTGACCCTTACAATTTGATGGGGCTGCTTATCAGAAATGTAAAATGATTATTAGTTTATCAGAGTTCAGTAGCAGCTTCCCCAGCTGCATCCATACGGAAGACATGCACTTTGCTTCATGTTACTTGTATAGTCGAGCTTTAAGGGACTCAAAAATCTCATTCTTCCTGCTGAAAGGCTGTGTGTGCACAGGACCCACTTAGTGCTCCACTCTGACTCTTGCTGTCATGGAAGAAGCACTTGTCCACATCATAGAAATACCAGCCCAAATACTTCTTTCATGTCTAAAAAGAAGAGATTTAAGTTAGAATACTTACAAGGGGGGATGATATTTCTTCTGACGTGGGAGATTTTAGGACATGTTTTTTCTTTTCTGGAATTAGTGGCTTCACAAATATAACATAAGGCTTAAACTCTGGAGTCCTCAAGTGCTTTACTGCCTGTGAACAGATGTTTGTTGTTACTTTTTGGTTATATGTCAATGGTCTACTCCAGCTGGGTTCAACAGTTTCATCAGAACACACTGGTCTGAAGTCTTGTGCACTATCCACCCGACCACAGTAACATTTTGCCCTTCAAAAGAAAGGTTAATGTCAGTGTCCTGGCTAGCTTACAAGAGTTACGTGAGCTCCCAGGACCATGGTCTAACTGCACACCTGCCTTGCTATGCATTGTGATACCAGAAACAAGGACAGAGCAAAAGATACTGAAAAAAAAGTATTAAAAAAAAAATTGACTTGAAAGTTACATTTTGCTTCACTCAAGAGGATAAACACTGGGAGTTTTAAACTTGGAATTCATCTGAAGTAGTATTACAAATTTTTCCTAGCCTGGTTACAAAATCTGAATCAAAATTTCACAGATTAACTCCCAGTATGGAGGGATTAAGAGCAGGCATGCTGCCACCAGTTACAATGCCAGTAACACTTCAGAGGCAATGGGAAGGGACAAGAATGAAGAACTCATCCATACTCTAAGTATTCTCACTAGGACTTGAGCAGGCTAAGGCAGTGATGCACATTCCTCCTCCAGCAAGGGAAAAAATCCCGCAGTGAGAACTGAAGTGTCAACTGGACATGTAGCAACTGCCAACATTGCCCTGTTTTCTAAACGGCTTAGCTGTTAGAAACACATGTTCTGAGAGCATCATTGTTCTTTGCAGAGCAAGCAGCCACAAACGGTGAACAACATCAGTTACTTGGGCTGGCAGCCTAGTAAGAAATACTTGCTTTATTTAAAAGAAGCTGCAGAACTTACTTCAGGTACCACATCCACCAAACAAACCTTCTTTTTGGCCAGCACAGACCGGATTGCCTCAAGACTTGTACCATACAGATTTTCTTTGTATTCTCCATGTTCCACAAATCTAAAAAGTTAATACATTTTTAAACACCATCCACAAAGAATATTTAACCTAAAATATTTGATAGCTGTTTCCTGAAATTACAGTAGTCAAGGGAGTGGTGGTGGGGAGGACTGATGTTTTTCCTTCTCCTTGCTTAGTAGCAATAGCCTTCTCTACATGTCATTAATAGCTGAGCAGCACTACTGATAAATAGGAGAAGCTGCATTAATTCAGTTAACTAATGTTCAAGCTTAATAGAAGAAAGAGGATATTTTTCACATATAATAGAACAAAGCTAGTAAGGAACTGGACTCTAACTCTTCCATCTTCTGGGAGACAGAGAAAAATCTGTACTTTCAGGAAACACACTCACTCTTACAGAAACCCCTTTACATACACGGATTCAGTCTACAACACACTTTAAAGTGGACTCACAAATGGAAGTTGTCAACCATCTTGTTAAACAGAGAATAAGCAGGCCCAACTAAATACGTTACTTTCACTAGATTAAAT